GAGAGAATCCTGACAGACCCCAAAGTATGTATTTCCAGCTCGAACTCGTTTTAGATAAACTTAACTTCTGTCTTCCATAATAATATTTCTTGGGATTAAGTATTTGACGCGGAATTCCTACTGGAAATGTGAGAAATCCTTGCTCAAGATGCGATAATGCACTCGTTGGGAGCCTTGAATCTTTGGCTTAAAGCAAGAGTAATGTTCAGATGAAAAATGAAAGAGGAAATTTAAAGAAGCTGGATCAAATGATTTACGAAAATATACTGCCATGTTAAAAGAGTTTTAAGATTCAAGCAAATTCTTGTAGAGCTCGGAAAGGTTATCTAGTGACTGATGCCCAAAGTATACTGAATTTATGAATAGAGCATTTCGCCAGAACACAGAGTGAAAATGGAACATCAGGAGTTGGCGAACTCATTTCCACAACCATCGACTATGGAGCAGTTGTCTCATTGTTCGACTATGAAGAAGTTCGCCTAGCAATCGCTTGCTTGAGAAACTACAGTCAGCGCTGGCCGAATGATTGCCGGACGAGCTACTCCAATATGGCAATGAAGAACTTATGAGCTGAAAAGCATTTTTGCAAAACATGGTCATGAACCATTCACAGCCTGTGCCAATTACCTAGGGGTAAGCCTCCTTAATATCGCATATAAGGTCATTTCAATCTTATTATGGCAAAGACTAAAGCTCACCGTTGAAATACCCGATTGGAACGTATCAGTATGGCTTTAGATCTGGTATGTCAACCATTGACCAGATATGCACCATTCACCAAATTCTGAAAAAGATCCGCGAGAAGAGAATCGGCACACGCCATCGCTTCGTCGATTTTAAAGCAGCCTCCATCAGCACGAATAGGAGCTGTCTCTAAGCCGCTATTTCTGTATTTGGTAATCCTTCAAAACTTATACGACTATGTGAACTGACCTTAAGCAATACCAAAAGCTCCGTCAGATTAGAGAAGTACCTTTCGATACCAAAACAGGTTTGAATCGAGGCGACCCTTCAGCATGAGACTTCTTTTATTTATTGCTGTAGAAAATAAAATGGACTGCAAGCTCAAGGTTGGTTAGGTTGTGTTGTCTGTACGGATGTAAACAACCCAACCATGCATCTGTTCGCTGCACTCACCGTCAGTGGAAACAGAGGAAGAGGAATGCTTCTGCTCCATTGAGTGAGATTAGATGGAGAGGAACATGGTTTCACTTGATAGCTCTACATGGCGCTTCAGCATTGACATCTCCCGTATCCTAACAAGATTTTTATATCGATCTTACATGATATTCTTTACAGCATTTATGATGTATTTCAGCCAATTCTTAAACTTCACTGACGACATATGTTCATATATATTATATATGACCTGCTAAAATGGCCATCTTTCCGGACATGTAAACCGGCTCTTCCTTCCGCATGAATGCCATTTATTTCCCACAGCAGCTTTTTATGTGAGAGTCGCAAAAGCAACAACAATACCAGTGGAAACGTGTACGCAAATTATGGCAGAATTGAAAGCGATTGCAGAAGGACTCCTTCTAGTCAACTTAGCAAAAGCGCAGCAGCCTCTACTAAAGAGTCTATCCAACGACACTGTACCTCACTCTTTAGCTTAACATATGGAAAGCGGGGTAGGGCATAAAGAAAGGGCGTCAGATATATGTTTTTTTTTACCTAAAGTGAAGGACTGAACAGTGTCTCCAAAGAAGGATACGCAACTAATCTGGAGTCTACTGAGAGACAAGCGTGTGGGGTCATTTAGATATTAAGAAGTATCCTTAGTATCTTCTAATAAATTTGAACTGCAAGGTGATGTGGTAGCCCAATGTGGAGGAGAGGCTGAAAAGGGCTAATACTCCCTTTATGGCGACAGTCAAGCATTTCTTGCCTTATGGTGAGTCGATGTATAAAATTACTGCCATCAAAGCCTCATGTGACAAACTCTGCTGAACTCTGCATATCGAAAGTATTAAGAACTACTCTTACTGCTGCACTTAGATGGCTACTTAACATATAAACAATCGCTATTGCAGAATCAAGCAGCGGCGGAAAAACCGTTGTGAGATCGGTGGCGTCTCTGCAAGAACTTTTTCCTAATAAGCAAGGGTGTGGGGAAAGAAATATATCCACATTCCTACGGACTTTATCTGCGGAAGAAAGACGGAATTGTGCTTCCAGAGTAATGCCTTGTTTTGAACGTGGACGTCTTTGCGGCAAGGAAAATTTCTGTGATAGCTAAGAACGCAGGAAAGCTGGGAGATGGATTACTACAATATAATGGCGGACCTAATGTTTGTTGTTGGATTGAAGACATAGATAGATTAACCCAAATAGTTTTGCATATTTTAACATTACTATTGAATAATCAAATTACTTGCTTTTTACATTACCACTACCATTATCATTATTATCTAAGCAGTTTCAATCAATATTTTAAATTACATTACTATAAACACTGCGGTTACCAATACCAATGCCATTACCATTACTTAACATTTCCATTAAAACTACTTATACTATTACGGATGTCATTACCTTAACCATTATCACTACCATTATCAATATCATTGCCATTACCATTACTGTTATACTATTATCATCTCCATTATCAATACCATTACCAATACAATTACATTGTCACTATCATTACCTTTATCTTTACCACTACCATTATTATAATTATCAACATTACCATTACCAATGCAATTGCCATTACCCTCTCCGTTGCAAAGACCATTACCAGTACCAATACAATTACATTACCAGTACCAATACAATTACATTACCATTACCATTACCAATACAATAACCATTACCATTACCAATACCATTATGATTACCATTACAATAACCATTGCAAAAACCACTAACGACATTTTTTAACAATGTTTATTATTAATATATTGTATTTAAACCGGAACTATTACCTCTTTAATTACGCTTTTCATTACCACGCTGAGTCAAGTAAAAATAATTTCTAGTTCGTTGACCGCAGCAGGTGCCACTCAAATGCACATTAAATTCTAATTATACCCGCCCATATATACATGTACAGATAATGTGAGTTTACAGCTACTAAATAAGAAAAATAATCCTACCCCAAACGAAGCGAGAGGCTGCAACATAACTTGCAACACGCTGCCAATAATGAAATATGTCACAAATGTTGCAAGCCAAAAACCCGACATAACTTCACCAAATGCTGTTGTAAGTATCCATAAGAATTCAGATATTGCCTTGTTGTTGCTACTGTTGTTACAAAAAAATTTCGGTGATGTGCAAAATGTTGCACATTATTTGCGCATTTTGATATTTGCCCTTTGCAAGAGTAACGAAGCAAGTAAAGTACCGAATTTCAACCAAAATGACAAAGTCATGCAAGTGTATGTGTTTATATGTGTGTATGTGTGTGTGTGTGTGTGTTTTCATGCATTTGTTTGCATCTAATATTTCAAGAGTTACACAGATCACGTACCAAACTGAACTTTTCTCACCACCGGAGTCAGTACGCAGTACACCAGTAAACCCCTACGCTATTGCATGCTGCTTCTTCCCCTGCAATATATGATTGTATGTACAATATATTTCGCTATTGTTACACTGACTTTTAGTTACAAAATTGTATTTGGTCCGTCGTAATTCGCGTTGTTAGCCGAATTGATGCTGATATACCAATGTCTTTCTCGGGTATTTTATTGCATTTCGCATTTGCTTCTACCATCGCTATTGTTGTCGTTGTTGCTATTATTGTTATCAGTCTTCTTCGTTCTTTTTTTTTTTTTTGCTCATTGTTATGTTCCACTACTAATCTACTAATGTCAGTGCGATGGCAACACAAATTGTGGCACTAACAATTGAGGTCAGAGCAAAAGCGTCCCGTTGAATGCAAAAGCGCCGGAAGCATTTCAAAGGAAACGAGGCAAAAACTCAAGCCCAGCGAAGCTAAACCAAACCCAAACTGAGCGCACGCTAAAGCAAAGCTTCACGTACATACATTTACGTGTTTGTCCATATATATTTATGTTTTCCAAAAGCCAAACAACACGCCGGCTCACTCGCCTGCCGCCTGCTAAGATTTACGAGCTCACAATACAGTAACGAGTACAATTTCTACATACACATTTGAAACATAATATTATATACCGGAGTGCGTGTGTGTGTTTGTGTGTTTGTGTGGGAAAACATGCACTTTGGCGCTTCGTGTGAGGGCGTTTGTTTACAAGTGTTCGTTACGTGACGCTGCTAAATGTCATATGTTGTCAATTTGTATTGAAAGCTGAATGTTAATGTTATGTTGGCCAAAGTGTAGACACCGTTGAAGCTGCTGGCTCTTATGCTGATGGTATGATGCGCAAATTGATGATGGCTTACGAGTGAGTAAAGTTAGTAGCTTTAGATATGAGATTTGTATTTTGATAGTAATTTTGGAAGATGGAGGAAGAATAGTGGCGGATTGAGGATGAGAATGCACAACAACTACGGAAATAAGGAGTGCTTTGTAATATTAGTAGTAATGTTGATGGTATTGGTATTTGTAATGGTACTGGTAAAGGTAATGGTAATGGTAATCGTACTGATACTGATACTGTGAGCTTTAATATTTCTGAAAATGGTACTGGTAATGGTAATGAAAATTATTTTGAAAATTATAGCATTAGAGATAATGATAATGATAATTATGATAAATATTTTAGTAATGTTGGTAATGTTATTATTAATTAAATTGGTAATTGTAATTGTACTACCAACAGTGAGAGTAAGTGAATGTAAAGAAAATGATTTAAGTTGGGATGGTGGCAAAGGTACTCGTAACGGTAATGATAAATATAATAGTAAGAGGACTGGTAACGGTAAAGGCAATAATATCGGAAGTTACTTTCGACTTGATAAAGATGATAATTATGGTAATGGCATGGTAATTGGAATATAGTTATAATGGTATTATCAATGGTTATCAAAGTGGTAATCAATATAGTACAGTAGTACTGATAGTAGGAATGAATAATAATGGTACTCTTATTTGTGCTGGTAGTGGTACTGGAAATGGTAATAGTAATGGCACTAGTAATGGTAATATTTTGGGGCTGGTAATGGTACTGGTAATGTACAGGTACTGATAATAGTAATGGTTATGGTACTGATAATGGTACTGGTACTGGTAATGGCACAGGTACTGGTAATGGTACTGGTACTGGTAATGGCACAGGTACTGGTACTGGTAATGGTACTGGTAGTGGTAATGTCACAGGTACTGGTAATGGTAATGATAATGGTACTGATAGTAGTACTGGTACTGATACTGGTACTGGTAATGGCACAGGTACTGGTAATGGTACTGGGACTGGTAAAAGTAATGGTAATGTAATGATAATTGGTAATAAAAGTAAGAGAAACGGTAATTTAATAACAATCGTTAAGCAAGTACCAATATTATTCAACAAACAACCTGCTGAAATGTGTTGTTGGTGTTTCTAGTTATACTAGAGAACTAGCGTTAAGCGTCAATTATTTATTATTTATTATATAATTATAAAATACATTGACAATGATAAAAACGAAATTTGTTGATTTACGATTTCTGTTATTATTGTAAAAAAAATTTTCTCCTTATTCAGTTATACATTTATATATGTACAATTGTATATATTGTATGGGCAAATGTCTCTTCAAATATTAATTTTTTTTTAACATTTTCTCTTAATTTTTTTCAATTTTCACCGTCGCCTCACTTGTATAAAAAATAAATAAGTGGAGTGCAAATAAAAAAAATTAAATCAACTCTTCAAAAAAAAAAAAAAAAAAAAACAACACGAAAAAACCGACATGTCCTATTTATTAACATTTTTGCATATGTTGTAACCGATTTTACGGCGCAAAAAAATTTGAACTGTTTTTCGGCTTCCGCCAACTTAAAATAGTAGAAAAAAATATATTTTATTTCCGCTTTGTTGTTTAAGTGTAATTGTAACGGCAACCGCTTAACAAGTGCAACATTTTGTCAGTTGACCATTTTGGTATACGAAATTAATTTTTTTATGACACCGTCATTTGTTGAAGCTCTTGAAACATATTCTCTGATTCAATGGTATTTCATGTTGTGTATGTGTGTTAGTTTTGAAGCTGTAAAATGGTGTTTTATCGAAAGTCTTGTATGTTGAAACTTTAAAATATTTTTTTTATGCTCCAACTCTTAAAAGACGGTTTTTTTTTCGAAAAGATGAAATAAATTTTCTAACTTCTTAGTTTTTTCCCCACGGTTCCTTCAATAAGTTGATTGTTTCCTTCTGAAAAATATTCCAATTCTTACGAGCGATAGCGGATGGGCAGATGGATTGACTCATATCTTCACCGATACACCGCTCTAACTGAGCAATAGCGTCGTTGGTACATACTTTTCGGCGTATCTAAAAATGCGATGTGATGTGAAACCGGTCCATGCTTGCTTGAATTACTGGCTCCGCTAAGTGATCATGTCGACCGATTATTGTCCTGGATATAAATCAAGTAACAACGGTCAAAAAATCTAGCTCTGGAAAAAGTTTAGCCTGATTGAAAACCACAAATCTGAAAGAAACACCATTTATAAATACAACAGTTATGTATATAATGGACAGTTTTCCGGCTGTTTTTTCAACAAATGTACATACATCAGCTTATAACAAGCCGCCTCCAAACGGCTTATAGATTTTTACAATAAACTCTTTTATTTGGATGTACGCCCTTGGGCGTCTGGAGGTTTCTTACTCAATGCAATGCAGCGGGTTGAGGAAATATGCTGTCCAAATTAAATTAAATTAAATTAATATATTTTGCAACTATTTAGAAGATCCGATCTTGGAGTCTTCTGACCTTTTGTGAATGTCAAATGGCACATAGTGCCAATAGTGCCAGAAAGACATACAAGTTTATACCGATCGGTCATCTATTTGATTTTGAGTCATAAATCAAATCAGTAAAACAGCTGGTATCGTGAAATTTGGTATAATATGTTTGTATCTACAAATAAACATTGTCCCAGAAAATCCCCGTAATCGGAGAAAAAATAAGGTGAACGATTTCATGGGAAAAGTCCATATGTTTACTAAGAGAATTGGAGCGTATCAACGATTACATGCTAGTGCTGGATACTTCAAAGGGACCCTCCTGAATGTGTGTGGGATAAAAAATAGTTTTCGAAAAAAGGGAGAATATATATAAGTATACTGTGGGTGTATCTAAAAAATTGTGTTTAAAATATAAAACTTTTATGTTTGCTGTGATAAAAATTTTTTTTATATTTTTTATTTTTATTATCGATTTATTTTGCCAATTTTGCGTTTCGACTTTAGGCACTACATATTATTATCAATGTCCTACCACATTTTATAAATAAAAAATATTCAATACAATATATTTTTTCATATATTTATATATATATATAAAATAATAAAGCGGTTGTGTGTGGATTTGGATTTGTCTTGCTGTTTGTTTGCTTTTTTGTTAGTTTCATTTTGTTATGCTGAAAAGTCTGTATATGACTATTTTTTGTTTTGCTAATTTTCATTTTTACTGTTATAATTTTTTGTTATATTTGACCTTTTGTTTGCTGTGTTGGCGATAAAGTGTATAAAATGTTTTGCGATTGCAATAAAATATTAAAATTTCAATATTTTATGCAAAAAAATCTGGGCAAAATTCGTTTTAAATTTATGAAAATATAAACAAAAAAAAGTTACAAAAAATTTATTTTTTTTTTATGCAAGAAAAACACATATTATCAATTAGGTCTTGTAAAAAGTAATGCAATATTCTGGCAACGCACTTACCGCGCGTCCAAGGCCAATTGATCCGTTAAACAAATAAGCTCGAATTATGGGTGCCACATAAGTTAACGAGAAAAACTTCATTCCAACCAGGGACTGCTGCTGAATTTTTATCAAAACTATGCACTGCGAGCTGTTTTCCTGTGACCAAACCTTCAAATCGAATTTGTATGATCTACAATTGGACCGTCTGAAAAAGGCAATCGCCCTGAAGCACACAGATTTCGCTAACAGAAGGGGAATCGTGTTAAATCAGGGCGACATATCGCTAATGATTCGCCAGAAACTATCAAAAGCTTAGAAGGTAGGTTCTTATTCACCCACCTGACTACCATTTTTTCTTCTCTATAGCAATTGAATTGGCTGGCGAGGAATGGGACTTAAAAAAAGCCTGTGGAATTCGATTCTCCAAACTTTTGGCCAATAGGGACAGTGTTTCCTTAGAGAGAAGTATAAAAACACAATGCATATTCCACATAAATTGGATAGTTCTAACGGTGCGAAATAAGACCTATACATTTTCACTTGGACATATTTAGGTTATCCTACTTTTATTTAATTCATTTACATGCATTTCCATACTTTTGTTTAAATAAAAAGCATTTATTGCAATGCACATATTTATATGCAAAAAATAGAGACAAAAATTAGTATCTTTTGCCTACTCAGCTAATGTTAACTTATGCTTCCTCTACTGCGAAATTGTTTAAAACAAATCTATGCTCGCAAAAAGGGATTATATTTCTACATTCATTCATAGGTAAAGAAAAACGCCTACATGTAAAAACCCTCAATTTAGATATGGTTAACAGCAGTGTCAGTGGCCATGGGTCAAGCGCAACAACACATTGCTCTCACATTGACGCCAACGACAACAACAACAACACAAAATTATTAATTTAATTTATTTTTATCACTATCATTTTCCTAACGACACGTGCTTACTGCTATTTTTAATATACCGTTAGCAGTTTATGACATGAACGTGTGGTGCTTAGTTGAGAGAAAGCAGATTTTTATACACGAGGAGTGCAATACACCTACATACACTAGTCCAAATGGAAGTGCAAACAATAGGTGTTTTCTTTTTTCAAAAGCTGTTGCATACATGTAGGCGTCTGCAGAGCAAATATGTTAAAGTTGATTATTTTTTATGCGCTTGTCGGTGTATGGGCGTATGTACGTATGTTTCACCCTCACCATGTTTTTGTCAGCATTTTACAACAGTCATTATCATAACCATGAAAAAGTTATTACAAAAATAAGTACGATGTTCTAAGCGCTGTTGTAACGAGGTTGATCGTGGGTGTGACCTGCTCCTTTTTTGTGGGTATTGTCACATTGAATTAGCAAGTTAAAAGTAGGAAAAACGCATTATACGATATTATGAATTTGATCAAGCGTTATATTCATTGACATGCTTGGGGGTTAGCCAACAGCAGTGACAAATTATGCGAAGTTGTGTGCGGAAAATTGTATAATTAGGCATTATGAAATTTAATTAAAAAATTAAGAATATTATGGATTTTGGGTACTATATATTCTATTTAAAATAAATTCATAACTATAACTATCTAAACTGGTTTTAAGCTAGACATTTTTATACTAATCATTTTTGAACTAGTTTTTAACTAGTTGTTTCGCACTAGTTCTTAGCTGATTATCTTTCAACTAGTTATTTATTTACTAGTATTAAATTAATTGTTTCTAAACTAAATGGTTTCAATTAGTTTCAGTTGAAGTGGTTCAAAACGCGTTATCATGAAACTAGTTCAAAACTAGACTTCGTGAAAATTCATACATTTAATTTAACAAAAAAACAATGCATCATTTGTTACTGAACTAACTGTAAAATGCATTACCTTGAAACTAGTACGAAAACACGTTTTATATTTATTTCATTTTAACAGTAAATTACGAGCTTTTCAATATTTTTCATTAAATTTGTATGTAATTCGCCTGGCATGCTCCTTCACCAATTTTTTTTTCGCCAATGCTTACTATTTACTGCCCCAAATACTTGTGTGAGATTTACAACATTCATAGCAGCCCGCTCATACGCGCTGCAATATACTCACACATACATACATAGCTAAGAGTTACCATGCAAATCCACTGCCATCACTTGAAAGTGTCACTCTTCTTACTTACTCGCAATGCATGCATAAAACAACAGCGACAACAACATAAATAACAACACTGAATTTCGAATTAAAGACAAAAATTCATGGAAAATTCATTATGTCCAACCAGAGTGTCATATCAGCATGCCAACCAAGCTGGCTCGTTGACTCACATACATATTGTAGCTGGATAGCAGGGTGAACTGGCTGGCTGTAGTGTTTGTAAACATGTTGCTGATATCGTTGCTTACCCTGCAGCGGGCGAAAGTGGATATTGTACGCAAACATACACACTTGGTCGAAGCAATAAATTTATGCATGTATTTGCATGTACCCCTGCATGTGTGTGTACATACATGTGTCTCTTCCACAATCACTGTCATATTATCAGCTTTCATGCTGTTGACCGCCTCTTACGTACTCATACCCACATTGC